CAGTTTTTGTTGAGACCATGACCGGTGCCGACCATCAAAAGAGCAAAGCTCCTCTGAACGGGCTGGCCATCAAGAAAAGCGTAGCTCTCGGTGCAGGCCATTGAGCTACACTTGATTGATGGCTGACACCAACCCATGATCGTCTGGAAGCCACCACAGTAGCTCCCTGGGGAAATAGTAGCTGTGGGTTTCTCTAGCCGCAGTTAACCGGGGCTGATTCTTCTTTTTTTTTGTTTCGCGACCAGCACACACCTTGTACATAATCTCCAGATCATCTCGAGCAACCACCAACCAGCACCTATCTCGTATGTAGTTCCACTCAAGACCTCTTCAACAAATTAAGCGCTTTTTTCAAAGGAGCTCACCATCCTTCTCTTCCCTTTTTTTCTATTCATCAGCTTCGGAACCTTGCACCCATCTCGTACGTACTTCCGCTCAAGACTTCTCCAACCGACTGAGCGCTTATTCCGAAGGAGCTCACCGTCCTTCTCTTCCCCTTTTTTTTCTATTCGTCAGCTTCGGAATCTTTCTAATCATCGTCGGAATCGTAATGCCCGCCATGGAGCTTTGTGAATGCTCCGTTTGCACCGTGTTTCAATTCGTCGACGAAAATGGCCAACGACGACCTGGACGCTACCTGTCTTCCCGCAACGCTGCCAAGCATTGACTGGACGAATATCACCGAATGCATACGGTTCCTACAATCTTGTCCTCCGCGGACTCTTCCATCCCTTCAAGCTCATCCCTCTCTGAACCAGAGAGTGAATTGTCCTCTATTGTTGTGGAACAAAATCCTTTTTCCTGTAAGAATCATTTTTTCTCTCACCTCTCAACAGCTCAAAGCTTAACCAAACTGAAGTTCTGCTCCATTTTTTTATTCTAGTATTTGTAATCCTTTTTGTATCATGGCTCCATCTCTTCTGTAATGTCAGCCGTGAAAACTGTAAGACTGCAATCCAGATGATTATCAACATACTCAGCGTGGCTGTCAAGCATCCAAATTTAATTCAAGACATTGAGGCAATACCACGTGATCCGCGAACCGTCATTGAAAAGGCCCAACTTGATGTTCAACTCAGCACAAAAATCTGCTGTCGAGTGTGTTTTCATCTGTATGAACTTGACCCCACTTCCAACTGGCGTTGCAACTACAAACAATTCAGCACCTCACTGCCCTGCGATGAAGAACTCTTCATCAAAAAGAAGGTTTATCGAGGCCATAAGGACATTGGCGATGTTGCACATTATCAAAAACTACCTGATATCCCCGCCGATGTGGTCGGAACACCCCGTTGTGTCTATCTTTCCCAATCTATCTTGACATGGATGACATGGCTTCTGTCAAAGCCCGAGACCGAGAAAGCCATGGACAACTGGATTCAAGTCAATAAAGATCTGAAGGATCAAGGTTACTTTTCAGATGTACAACATGGCGACAACTTTACGGGTACCACTTGGAAAAAAGGATCCGATGTACTTAAGCTAGGCGTATCGTTGTTTGTTGATTGGTTCAATCCTCGTGGGAACAAGATCAGTGGCAAGACGGAATCAACTGGCGTTCTTGCACTTTCATGTCTTAATCTTCCACCATCAATTCGTAACAAGCTTTCACACATGTGCATTGCTGGTATCACCCCAGGACCCTACGCCCCCGATCCCCAGACGTTTAACCATCTCCTAGGCCCGCTTGTGGACGAACTCATCAACTTGGACGCTGGCATCATCATCCCAACCCATCAATTCCCAGCTGGTCGGTTGGTGCAAGTCAAATTACTATGTGTCTATGGTGATGTCCTTGCAACCAAGAAGGTCGTTGGCTTTGCTTCACATTCAGCCACCAAGTTTTGCTCATTCTGTCACGCCGAACTACCCAACCTCCCCTCATTACAACTTTCAAGAAGACGTGAAAAATCCGAAACCATTTCTGCAGCTCGCAACTCCAAAAATGCAACATCAGTAACCGAACAAGATCGGATCTTGAAGGCAACAGGTGTCCGATGGTCTGAGCTAAATCGATTGAATTATTGGGACCCTAGCCGGCATGTTGTGTTAGGAGTGATGCACAATTGGCTTGAAGGCATATTGCAAGGTCACTTCCGCTATCGATGGAAATTTGGATGGATCCCACCAAGCCAGGCAAAGAAAAAGCGTCGGAATGGCTCAAGATCAAAGACTGGCCCCAACAAGCGTGCCCGAACAACAATTGAGTCAATCGAAATAGCAATGGATCTAGATGATGACAAAATTCTGTATGAATCTGACGACGATGAGGATATCTTACTCAATGGCGGTTTTGGTGGCAGTTTCTTCACAGAGGACGACGTTGAAAAATTTCGCAATGGTATGAAGCATGTAGTACTTCCCCCTGGGGTTCCCCATTTACCTCTGAATCTTGGAGAGGCAAGTCATGGCAAACTGAGTGCATCTCAGTGGCATGCACTTTATGTCTTTATTATCCCTCTGGTGATTTGTGAAATCTACATCACTGACGTAGGATCAATCGACCTCCGCTCAAATCGGTACAAATTTCTGGCCAATACTGCTCAACTAGTCCAATGTACCAATGTGGTTTTTGCACGGAGATTCAAGCAGGCTGATCTCAGACGATTTGAGATGCATTACAAAAAATACTCGGATTCGGTCGGGGAACTATTTGAAGGCATCAAAGTGCAACCCAACCATCACTTTGCACTACATACTACTCAACAGATGTCCGGTTGGGGACCTCTAGCCGGTGTAGCAGAATTCCCTGGGGAGCGCCTCATAGGTTTTCTCCAGAAAATCAATACTAACAACAAGATTGGTGAGTGGTTAAATCCAGGCAAGAGTTGGTCAGATACTGATTTGATGTGTCTTTAGATGAAATGCACAGGAGTATGATGACCCGTGGGTGCCGATTACAACGCTTGATGGCCAACTCTGAATACAACGAATTGGCTAATGTGCTGGGCAACGAGGAACCTCAAAGGGGACGGAAGACAAAGTCAATATTGCTGTGTTCATCCATATATACAATGCTTTTTGACCTTGTGGCTTGTGGGGATCGATCGGTGGTCAGACGTGGGACGTTCCCGGTACCGAGGCACTGTTGGGTGTTGTCAGGATTAGCTATCCCAATAAGATCAATCAGTTGTGATGGGGTAGTGGTAGGGTCAATGAGTCCGCGGAATTGTGTGGTCGCTAACGTGGCTGGAAAAATGAGATATGGTCTTGTCCGACAGTGTTATCGCTACAAAGATGGCTTAGGCGAGGAGAAGGAGTTCTTGGTAATGTCAACCATTACAAATGTGTATCCAAAGAGAACGGATCCATGTCGGACACGTCCATTCCGATACTTACTGTTTCTATTTGGCATGGTTGTGGGGAGGGTTGAAGACAACGAGGAGCTGATTCTGCCCTCTCAAGTGGTTTCTCTGGCTGCATACCGGCTTCTAGATGACAAGATGTTTAGTATTCCAAAAAATGGAATAGCACTTATTCCCCATGGACATGATGCATTCCTCAATATTGCTGGCCATGATGGTCAAACCTGTAGGTTCATCTAATATGTTTCCTTGTATTGCTTTCCTGGCTGATTAACTCCTGTTTCAGAAATCCACCCAGGTCACCCCCCAGCTCACCACCCTTTCCCTTAAGTCATTCTCTTTCCCTGAAATCCTCCAGCTTATCCCCCTACAAGTCTTGTACATGCTCCACTTATACTCCTCTCATCAAACTTTATCATGTTTCTTCCATCTCCTCATTGTAAATACTTCTTCCTCTATTTTGTTAACCCCCCAGTTCATCCACCTTTTTCCTACTCATGCTTCTTCCCCAAAATCCTCTAGCTTATCCCTCTACAAGTCTTGTATATTCTCCACTTATACTACCCTCATTATACCCATATCATGTTTCTTCCATCATCATATTGTGAATACATCATCTATTTTGTTATCCTCATCAGCCTTCACTTTTTTGAAATAAATGTGCATCTTCTATGCCACCATGATTACACCAAAGACCACCAATTTGTTTGGACAGACTGAATTTTCCCAGGTTTCCCTTCCTGACTTCTGAAATAAATAAATGACTATGCTGCAATGATCATGTCAAAGCCAGCCTGTTCAGACAGACTGAATTCACACAGAATCAACCTTGGTTGGCACAATTGGAATATGGTATTGCTCAATTGCATTGTATTCCAAGGGTCTTTCATTTACAACCAAAAAGACCCCCTGAGTGAGTATGTACAACTTATGGAATGGAATAGAAAAAAATCAAGAGAGAAGAGAGACAGGATACCCTTGCGTGTTTTTTGGGCTCACAAGAATGTGTACAAGATAGAATCAGAAAACTACTGAGGTTGTTTTTTCTTTTCTTTTTTTTTTTTTTTTTTTTTTTGCGGAGACAATAGACAAGAGAGACAATGAAATAGAAAATGTACCATGGGAATAATATGGACCTAAACATGTTTGAAGGGTGGACTTAATGATAGAGGAAAAGAAACAAGTGATACTACCTAGTGGACGAGAGGCACCTGATTACCAATCTTCCTCGCACTCTGGGATGTCATCCATCTGGCAGTCCTCTTCGACACCACCATCTTCAGCTTCGTCGTAATCGTCGTCGTCATCATCGCTTCCATCCTGCTCTTCGCCATCGTTTACCACAAACCCGTCATCCTCTTCTTCGTACAAATCCCCAGCATCCCCCTCCACATGAAACTCGTCGTCAGAGTTGTCCGGGCTTGGCTGGGTTAGATCGATCCCCTCGCCTTCGTCATCGTCATTTCTGCCTTGTTCCTCCTCAGCAGCCTCGTCATAGTCTGAGGAATCACCGCCCAGGAGGCCATAAGGCTCAGCCAACACCTCCCAGTACTTCCTCGTGAAAGTGGAATCGGCCATCTTTTCATCGGGGTTTCGTTCACCTTTAGGAAGCAAGGACTCGTTGGCATCGGGCAGAAAAGCGAGTGCTTTTCGGTTTGGGATGGATTGTTGTTGAGCAGGGACGAGGTTGTGGTACCATTTCGGGTGGTAGAAATCGATGGGCAGTCCCTTTGGTGCAATCTTGTATGACGACATCTCGGGGTTCTTTGGTAGTCTTTGAACCCTGCGTCGGGACGACTTGGCGATAGGATCTTGCTCGGCGGCGTTCTTCATCACGATGTCCAAACGACGAAAGAACCGGTTGGCGTTGTTCGAGCGGTAGGGCAAGGTTTTGATTTTGTAGAAGCCCTTCCCCTCTACCTTCTCATCATCGCTGTGGGCCGTGATTGGTTCCAAGATGTCTCGATATCGCTTTGGAAACTTGTTGATGATGGCAAAGTCGCGCCTTTCGTTTCTCAACTAGATATGATATGAAACAAGGAGTTAGATTCTATCACCCGGATTGCAAAGCAAGAAGAAAAAAAAAATACCCTTTCTCGATTCTTGTTGAATTTTTTGTTCGCTGCTTCTTGAGATGCCTTGCCTTTTTCTTTTTGCTCCCTCTTGTATCGGTTGTATTGAAGATAGTGTACAAAGTGGTTGTAGGCGGGTATGAGTAGAGTCATATCTTGCGCCAATTCTCGATCAATCTTCAGGTAAGAGTAAGCTGAAGTCGTAGCAAGCTCTGTGAAAGTGGTAAGAGCTGCAATTCGATGAGCTGAGTTGTACAACAAATCCGAATCTTCCTTGAGATTGGGACACCAGACGCGTAAGCCTAATCGGGCCATGAGGCCTTGAGCATATCGGACGAAGTTACTTCCCAGGTGGATGATGGATTTCCCGTATCGGATGCGGCCAGCCTGAGCGTCCTTGAAGCATTGTACTTCATGTTGGCCAAAGTGACCAGTTGCCAAGCCGCCGCGGACTGCTTCTTCGATCTGCTCGGTTCGTCGGAATCGCTTGTAGAACTCTTCAAGCATGCCAAGCTCGGGGGGTGAGGGAACCGCATCCTGTTTCAACAAGCCCCAGAGCATCTTGATGTGGACAAATAAGGCCGTCTAAAATAGGGAAATGGCCACAATCAGCACACGGCTAAGAAATTGGGATGAGCGCAGACTACATACCTTAGTTGGCAAAAATTCCCGAGGGAAGTCCCCATTTT